GCCCCAGAGCCAATCCTGTTCAGGCGAATGCTTGGAGCGAATAGAGAGATTGATGAAGAAGAGCTGAGGGTACGGACAGGAATATTAATGTGAAGAAGATCACAACGATATGAAGGAGCTTCATTATTAAGAGCTTTCTAGGTAAGGAGAAATCAATTCCATATTTTACTGGAAGAACAGGAGAAATGTGCTTAATAAGAAGAACTGATTCATGTAGAAATTCAGAAAGCAAAGAATTGCAATATAATGTAACTAAGGCATTATAAGACAATTTACAGTATATTTCAGAACTTAAAATATGCAGAACAAATAATAATAAACAACTATGGACTTGTCGATAGTCACAGAGAAACTATCCTGACTAGATGACCTACCAGGAGAACTTCAGATTGACCACGATTGAGTTTAAGGAAATTTGATGAGAAACAGTTTTTAATTTCTGCTAAGCGACAAAACCAGGCAAAACAGAAGCAAGTATAGAAATAAACACCGTACTTCCTAAAAATGTGTCCAAGGGGGAGTAAATAAATGATGAATATAAGCGGGCCCAAGACTGAGCCTTGGGGAACACCACGACGGCTCACATCTGAACAAACCACAAAGAAGATCTAATCTAACCCCAGACAGACAGATGCCCGTAACCGCAGATAGAGTGAGAGTCTATCACACACTCACATCATCATTATGTTTGATTTCTGAAATGTTTTTTTTTTTTAACATTCAAAAGTAACGTTCCTATGATATATTTACTAGGTCTACTTCAATGATCTCACTGTTTCTGCATTAAATTGCTACATTGTTTAAATTGCTACATTTTTCGGTCACTGTAACTGAAAGCATAACTTCTAGATCACTGTACACTGTAATGTGGACTTATGGTACTTATAAGTGTTGGTTCCCATGGTCATTTATCTGTAAGTTCCAGTCAGATCATTTTATTCCGCCGTCGTTAAGTCTTCAATCATTAGTCATCATCATGTGATCTAGCATGTGGTTCTGAATCGGCTGAAGCTCATAAACATGTTTTGGTTCTGTGTCGTGATGATCAGAATCAGATCAAGTCGACTTATCCGAGGAGTTTAATGTCCAATCAAAGCTTTACGTTCTCTAAGAGTATTAAATCATGAAAACGCATCTGATGACCTGGACATGATGTGCAGTTCTGACAACTTCAAGAAGCGCTTTTATGATGTGTGTGTGAGAGTATGTGTGTTTGCTGAAGGCAGATGGCATGACTCGTATTGATTCTGAGAGAAGTGCAGGAATTACTGGGATCCGATCGGCTCTGAGTGTGTGTGTGTGTGTGTGTGTGTGTGTGTGTGTGTGTGTGTGAGGCCGGATCAGATTTCTCTGCCTGTCTTCCAGTCTAATGCACAGCTAATAACAGAGGTCAACACACACCAGTGAGTCTGTGCAGCACAGCTAATGGAAAAGATAAACTCACACACACACACACACACACACTAATGTTAACAAAGATTAAAAAATGCTATAAAATACACTGTTCTTCATGTTAACTAAAGTAATCATCAAAATGGAGTTTGAATCATCAAAAAGAGAACAAATATGGTCAGAATATGGTCAATGTTTCTTTTTCCGAGAGCATTGGCAGATATTAGTTGTTGTTTTCCACATAAACTCACTTCATTGATATCAATTTGTCCTGTTCTCTCGTAGTTTTGCAGGATTGTCTGTGACACTTTCCCCAACTATCAGGAAAGCTTCTCTAAAGTTACGAACAAACGTTCTTCCTAGGGATGGGCAACGATTAATCGCATCCAAAATAAAAGTTTGTGTTTACATAATATATGTGTGTGTAGTGTGTAGAATTCATTTGTATATATAAATACCCACACATGCATGTATATATTTAAGAAATATTTGCATGTATATACTTTATATATATTTATGCATAATTAATATTATATATAAACATAAATATTTGATATATTAATAACCATTTTTTCTTAAATATATACATGCATATGTGTGTATTTATAAATACAAATTATTTATGCATAATTAATATTATATATAAACATAAATATTTGATATATTAATAACAATTTTTTTCTTAAATATATACATGCATTTGTGGGTATTTATATATACAAATTAATTATACACACTACACAAACACGTATATTATGTAAACACAAACTTTTATGTTGGATGTGATTAATCGTTGCCCATCCCTATAGTGACATTCACAGAACGTTCCTTCAAAGTCATCAGATCTGTAATAATGTTCTCAAATGTTTTACTTCTTAGATGTTTCGTATCGTTTTTTTTAATGTTGCAACTTCAGACGAACATTCAAAAGTAACATTCCCTCGTTTGATGAATGATGAAATGGAATAACATTACAACAAGATACTGGACGTTTCATACACTCAGAACTTAATGGGAACACTGGTGAAATTCTTCAGTTCTTTACCCAGACCCAATCTCATCAATGACTGTTTCTCTGTGTGTGTGTGTGTGTGTGTGTGTGTGTGTTTTGTTCCAAGCAAACTAAAACTGCTCACAAACAGAGTGTGCTGTGTGAGATGAAGATCACAGACCCTCCTCATCTTCTCTCACATGTTTCAGTCAATCCTAAACACACAATAACTGTTACTGCTTAATTCACCGTCATTCCTCCTGACAGCTGTCAATCAGCGAAGCCTGGTCGCCGTGACGACCGCATCAGCACCGCACACACTGCAGGTCATACGACTCGAGAGCGGTTTAACACTTGTGTTTCAGGGTCATCAGTTAGCGAGTGTTATATCTGTACACCGTTAACAGACTTCAGGCCTTCATGTGTGTGTGTGTGTGTGTGTGTGTGTGTGTGTTCATATTCCTGAAGCTGAGCCGCGTATAAAGGAATCTCGCTCTCGTGAAGCATCAGCACTTTTCTGCTTAATTAATCCGGTAAGTTGTGTGTGAGTGTGTGACGCTTCAGCTCTTAAGCAGCTTTACTGAGACACATTTCAGCAGTTTGGGCTTCAGTTCAGTGATGTTCAAATCTCACCGCTGGCAAACACACTCGGCTAACCGTCACGCCGGGAAAACAACGCGCAATGCATTCGTCTTCTTAAGCGTTTCAATGCGTTTTCTTCTTGCTTATGTGAGCGTTAATGCAACAATTCATCATTCTTCAAACATCACGTGATCGTTACTTTAGAACGTTCCGGAAACAGTAACATTTCAGAAACACCAAACGAACGTCCGACTGAAACATTTCACAGCGAAACACTGAATGATGTATGAATAATGTTTCTGTTCGAACACTTAGAAAAGATTATTAAAGACCAGAAAACTGTGAACGTCACTGGAAGAGTGTTTCCCTGTTATCTGGATAGGGCTCTTATTCTCACACACACACACACACACACACTCTCAGCCTGTAGGAACTGATCTGTGGAGAGATTATACACACTTTCAGAAGTTGTTTTTCATTGTGCACCAACAGGCTCATATGAAAACAACTTACATAACAGAAGCGCTGTCTCGCTCAGAAACCAGTGAAAGATGGCCAGAGGAGACACATCTCTCTCTCTCTCTCTCTCTCTCTCTCTATCTCTCTCTCCATCCAAATGCATTCTCTCCAGAACAGTGTTCAGCTGGAGGGAAGTTTACTCTCTCTCACACACACACACACACACAGGCAAAAATAATCCTGCATTTAAAAAAAACAATACACATGGAAAGCACCTGCAGTTATTCGGATGCTTCTGAGTGTGTTTGTGTGTGTGTGTGTGTGTGTGTGTGAGGGTTTGTGTGTGTGTGTGTTTTCCTCTTTATGCCTGAAGCATCAGCAGAACAATTTTAGCCCTTCAATACCTTCATACTGTAAAACCAGAAAACACATGTGAACATTGATTGACTGTGTGTGTGTGTGTGTGTGTGTGTGTGTGTAATAATCTGATGGACTGACTGAATGTATTACATGACAAAACAGAGTTTAATGCCACACAGACAGCTGCATTTCTTCAAGTCAGATCGTTTTCTGCACAAAAAAATAAATAAATAAAAAAAACTATAAAAATTAAATGGTCAATATTTTTATTTCCTCAATGATTTTAAAGGGATAGTTCACTTTGAAATGAATGTTTGATATGTTTTATCTTACCTCAAGGGCATCCAAGATGTAGGCGTCTTTGTTTCCGCAGTATTTTCAATTTTGCCATTTTTCAGTCAAACCGTTGATGTCTATCAGTCATACACTGGAGACTAAGGGGGTCCACCAAAGAGCAGCACAGAGAAGTCCAAATTAAACATGATTTAATGACTCGTAAATGTAAGTACACATTGATGGCCTAAGACACGAAATGAGCGGTTTGTGTGAGAAAATTAACAGTATTTATATTGTTTTTACCTTGTGTAATCACAGCCACGTCCAACTGATCTGACGGTGCGGGCGCTTCGGTCTGCTCATGCGCCGGAAGTGATTCTTGTGCGTCTACACCATATTTAGACATCGTTATATCTAAACATATTTAGATATACCGAAACCGTCTTCCATTGCGATGTCCTGTATATCTAAATATGTTTCGATCTTCACAGTGAAGGGCAACACTTCTGCTTCCAAGAGGTAAAAATGATCATTTAAAAGTGAATATATAGCCTATAACATGCTAAAACTTTGTAATTCAAATGAAAATATAAAAAAAATAAAATCTGATATTATATTAGCAAAAAGTACAACAGAAGTGAGGAAAACCTGATTCTTCATGAGCTAAATATGAATTGATACTAATTAACGGATTAAATTATTCAATAATGATTACTTTTATTTCCATTTTTGCAAAATAAAATAATTCACAATTTAATCTATTGTTATTTTTTTCAGTATATTTATATACTATTATATTTTGAACTATATGCATTTACTTTTATTTTTATATATTTTGAATTATATACATTTTTTAAATACTTTTATTTTTATTTTGTGCAATTTTGACAGCTGTCTAATTTTCAATTTTGATCAGAATGATGCCAATGCAAAACATGAACATATTTTGCTTAAGTTTATTTAAAGCAAAATTTCCACATGTATGTTTGTGTTACGTTTGAGGTGAAATATGAGCTGCACAAGTTCATTTCAGAAACTCCTCAAAAACACAGAAATGATTTTAGAAAATCCACATTTCAAACTATCGACTCTCGTCCTGGCCTTATTGAGAACGATCAGAATGAAGATTACTGATTACACAAACACTGGGAAACATTTACAATTATAATATTTTTACACACTGATCAAATGAAACAATAAGCAAATACAAAACATGTACAAAGACTTCATGAAACCAGGTAAAATCTCAACATGCGGACGTCAAAATAACCTTTTAATAAGACTAAACACTGCTCTCAATGGACGTGTTTGAAAAGAACAGTTCATCCAAACATCAAATTAACTTAAAACTAACTACGATCCGGCCGTGTAATGGAAGTCAATGGGGTCCAAAACACGGACACACACGTGAGCTAATCCATCATGGTCTGAATCACGACTGACGGATGAACGTGTAATACTTCATATTTAACACAAGTCTTCATTTTTAGCAGTTGATGGAGGATAACTCTATTATACACTGATTTAATTCCACATCAAATCCTCAAACTGAGACAGGAAGTGAATTATCCGATCAGACGCGGGCGGCCTCTGTGTTTATTTACAGTCTGAGATTCATTAAACGCATCAGATTCATTATCCAGCCCCAGCGTGTGTGTGTGTGTGTAAACTAAACTCTTATTAAAACGCTACAATCAGTCTCATATGGAATGATAAATGTGCGAAACATCATGATTCAATTATAAAGGCTAATTATAGCAATAAACTTATATTACACACATATCAATAAAACATCATCGCTTCATTTCTACAGGATTCAATGTGAAACAGACACATGAACACACACACACACTCTCTCTCTCTTTCTCACACACAGAATCTCTCTCTCACACACTCACACACACACACACACACACACACACACACACAGTAATATGAGGTTCACATCATGTCAGAATGATTATGTAATGCAGTGGATCTCTGACCTATTGTAACTGTTGGTTTGCACATCACAGCAGTTTTACACACACACACACACACACACACACACACTGATGAGCCACAACATTATAATCAGCCACAGGTGAACAGATCCATAATCTCATATTAATATCTGGGTCAGAATGTTTTGGCTCATCAGTATATATACCGTATATTATGATTATTATAATAGTAATTCTGCCATGCTGTGAATGTACTGTTAAACACACACACACACACACACGATTCACACAGTTTGATGTGATTCAGCTCTCTCTTACTGACATTAAAACTAAAATAATTTATAAAGTCTGTTTATAAGAACACACAGGAAGTCTCTGAAAGTCTTTTCCAGGTCATGTGACCAACACGAACCACACGGGCCGGTAACAGTCTGAAGTCCCAGAGTGTGTGTGTGTGTGTGTGTGTGTGTGATCCAAGCACCCACGGTGAAAGTGTGTGTGAAGCGTCATGAACACCGAACCTCGGCCACTGAAGAAGAGAAGAGTTCCAGAGAAGAGACCATCACACACTCAGATCCTGCAATCACACACACACACACACACACACACGGGTTATTAATCCTGGTGTGTTTGTTAAAAAAAATCATATTTGACAAATATATCATATGTAACAATGACACTGCAAAAAAAAAAAAACAAAAAAAAAACGATTTTCTTTACCGATTATTGCTGAAGTAAAACAAGTTTAAAAAGTAAAACCAAATATAATGGTTAAAGTTTATTAAATAAATAAATATATATTTTCTGAACTGATGTTGTGATGAGTCTCACCTGTTCACGGTTCACTTCGTCACACATCTCTGAAGAGCTGCAGGAACACAAGCCAGTGTATCAGGGTCAGAGGTCATCAGTGACCATGACAATCACATGACATCATCATCATCACTCACCCCAAAACTAATCTCAAACAAACTTCATTAAATATTAGTGCTGTGCAATATTAGTGCTTAATCACACCCAACATAAAAGTGTGTTTTTAGTATATAAACACACACATACGCATGCATGTATTTAGGAAAAATGTGTAATTTATATTTGAAGACTTCAGATGCAAAAGCCTCTAAATGCCATTTGAAATTTTCTTCTTTAATGATGATTTTTATCAAACTTGTATATTTCAGTTTAGTAATTTCACTTAAATAACAATTAATAGTTATTTATACAATAACAATTATTCACTTAAATATACAAGCTTGATCAAAATGATCATTCTAGAAGAAAATTTCAAATGGCACTTAGAGGCTTTTGCATCTGAACTCTTCATATATATATATAATACAAAATATATACATGCAAATATTCATCAAATATCATTGTTTTGTATAAATACACACAGATGCATGTACATGTGTTATTTATATATGACATATTTATATTTCTAAACAATGTAAACTATATATAAATACACATACAGTATATCTATACATATGTGTGTGATTATTTATACACACACACACACACACTCTTTTATTTGGGATGTGATTAATGGTTGCACAGCACTAATTAATATTGATATAACTTTAGAGTTTTGTTTGCGTTGTAGTTTTGTACGTTTCCTGTGTTGTTTCTTTAGTTTCACCCAGCATCATGTGTTCTGACCCAGTATAGAGAGGGATTATGGGTAAGGATGCGAGTACTAACCCAACACCAGCTGTTATCAACAGTTCAAACATCCTCCAATAATAAAGCGAGTTCATGTTCGGCCCATGTGACGCTCTAAACACACACATCATGAGTCATGTGACCGAACATGAAGCTCAGTGAATCAGAAGAGTGAGGGCTCATGGGTAATCACACAGCGTGATGGATACACCTCTTACGGTTTACTGTGTATAAACTCTGACCTGGGGTGTGTGTGTTCCCGAAGCATAACTCAGATCGCGTGTGTGTGTGACAGAAGAACGCCACATCTACTGAAGGGAGAGCACATCATGGGCTGATTCTGATTTGAAAGCAGCGGGAAACACACCCCCCTGGCCGGGCTCGTGTGATTGGCTGTGTGATTGGCCAGCCCTGCTGTGATTGGCTGATGAGACTCACGGCGAGAGGATCGGCTGTGAAAGCGGCGACACTATTCCTCATCTCGTTCTCACTGCCGCGCAGAGGAATCAGAGACACGTTACCGAAGCGAGCGTCCAGCGGCGCCGAGCGACTCGTGGAGCGAGACTTCAGCCACTCCGCCGGCCACACTCGCCCACCGTTCTGACAGAGAGAGAGAGAGAGAGATTTAGGAAGGTTAAACACATTTCTTTCTCCAGCACTTTATCATCAGAATTACAGGAGTGTGTGTTGATCCTCTGGGACTGACCTGTACACTCATGAACGTAGCGAACCATTCCCTCATATCCGTCTGTGTGTCGCAGCACAGGTACCTGACACACACACACACACACACACCAGGGTATATACAGTAATCATTAAGTTAAATTTACTACTTTTTAATACCTTTTTTACTACCTTCAGAATTTTTTTTTAAAACCATCACGACACTGAATTGCAAGTGTTACCCAGCGACCTTTCTATTACACCGATTTGGACATTTATAACATACAACATTTTTATGTTTAGTGGATTGCATTTGTGACCGAAGTGCATTAGCTCCCATCCAGTTGACATTGATGTTTTTTTACACACTAAACAATAGAGGGAATGCACTGACATCACTTTCCCGCCGGTACAACCCCCCCTCAACCTGACTGATCTGCTGCGTGATTGGATTTAAGAGGGGTAACTATTAAAACTAACAATTTGATCAATTTAAACTAAATGTTGGACTCAATATAGTTGGACTTACTAAAGATCCAGTGATCCATGGATATTGACATGCAATCGTGTCGCCTGACATTTATGTTTGCCTGATTTCAATAAAAGGGAAATTAAAGCAATATATAGATCTACATAGGCTAAAGCAAATTTGCCTGTGAACGCTTTATATAAATACAATATAGGTCGGTCTAAATCCGGGTGATCAGGGTTATATATAGCCTCTATATATCGTCCAGCCACTGAATATGACGTCAGCATCAAACATAGACAGATGAAAGATCTTTGATTGTGCCCAGATAAGCTAAAGCCCATATTTACTCAGACTAACGCAAACACAGAATAGGACACCTGATAGTCTGAAAAAAACAATACCTCTCAGACTACATTTAACACTTTTAATGGCCTTAAATTTGACCATTTTGATTTATCACTTTTTAATACTTTTTAAAACCCCGTGGACACCCTGACACACACACACACACACCTCACGTGAGCATGATTTCAATAGATTCAATGTAATGAATTATTATATTTTCATCATCTCACAGTAAACCCGGCTAGAGGTCAGAGTCACACCATATTAACATTATTTACAGAGAATATAACTGATACCGACACTTCTGTGTGTGTGTGTGTGTGTGTGTGAAAGAGAGAGAATGCGAGAGAGAGTAAGTGTGTGTCTAGAGGGGCTAAACGAACCTTTACCCTTGTTTGTCTGAGTCAGACACTTGTGTTCACAAAACACACACACACACACACACACACACACACACACACACACACACTTCTTACCACTGCTGTCTCTCCTGCTTTTCCTGTTTGTCACTCTCATAGACGACAGTGAGTCCCCAACTACAGACAGACAGACAGAGAGATACGAGTTAAACACTCCGTCGTCTATATGTGTGTGTGTGTGTGTGTGTGTGTGTGTGTGTGATACTGATTTCCACAGACGAGACGATCACGTCCAGATCTCCTTAAACAAGATGCTCCAGTCACTCAATCATGATCACATTCACACACTCAGCGCTGTAAATCAATCTGACCAAGCGTCTCACACTGAATTGATAATAATCACGGACTCGAGATGATCCAGAAATATCATATAAAACACACATGCAAACGTCTTGGTTCAATAAACGGTTTAATTTCACAGATATTCATGTTGTTGTTTCATATGTCAGGCTTTCCTCCTGCTGTATCTGACTGTGTCCTGACACACACTGACCCCTGCTGGTCAGAACCACACACACACACACACACACCCTCAGATTACACCAGCCCTGAGTGTTCACAACACGCAACGTGTTCATCACTCTTCAAACCAGGGGCGTAGCCAGAATTTTACTTTTGGGGGGTCCCGTCTTTAAATGAGGGGGCAACATTATTTATATATACTGTATATAAAGTTGATCTTTCCGTGCTTTTTTAAAAAAGTGTAATATTGTACTTTGAGTTTGAGCGCCTGCCATTGTCACGGCATATTAACTCTCACGCAAAGATGAAGATGACAGCGTACGTTACGCGCAACACGTTATATAAACAAATATATATACAAATATATTGCTTTTTTTTTTTTTTAAGCAATCAGAAATCTGAGGGGACCGGACATGTAAAAGGCCCACCCAGGCCCCCTCGCGGCTACGCCACTGCTTCAAACATCTCTGGAATGAGGCTTTCAACACTTAAAGACTGACATCCAACAAAACATTTCAGGGGGAAAACAAAATATCCTAATAAAAAATAAAAAATAAAAATAACTAACTATGTTAGTTCCTAACTTTGAGAGAACATCAGCAGAAGGTTAGCTAGCGTTCTGAGAGCGGCATGTGTTTCCTGCTTGAATGTTGATTATTCTCCTCATATTCTCCATTGTTGCGGCTCCTCTCTTCCCAGTCTGTCAGTAACGCTCTGTTTACTTAAGCCCCTCCTCCTGAAAGCACACTGTGCTCTGATTGGTCGGCTGGAGCGGTGTGTTGTGATTGGTCGAGCGCTTCGAGTGTGTTTTGGAAATGTCCCGCCCCTTTCCATAACCGCCAGTTTAACACACTACTGACTAACTCAACCAGGCCCCGCCCCTTTATTCTGCGCATTAATTATTATAATGAGGAATATTGTTCCCGGGAGAAACTCAGAAACACTGACACTGGAGCTTACATCCTCAAACACACACTGAAGAACAGCGATATAGGCCTTTAACACAAACACACACACACACCCTGTCGCTCGTGTGAAGCCGGTTTCATGTTTTAAGGGGGACTGAAGCGATCACAAAGTTAAAATAAGGCGGCTAGACAGAAGTGTAGTGCTGATGCCCCCTAGAGACGCCCATGTACACGGGATACTTCACAATATTACTGTATATTTAATCAGATAAATGCAGCCTTGGTCAGCAGAAGAACCTTACCATTAAACCTTACATTAAACACACAACATCAGTATTTCTAGATCTTCAATTGTACTTGTAAAGCGCTTTTTCAAAACACACACACATACTTTCAAAGCAGCTTTAGAGAAATGATGATATTAATGCATGAAACATCCCGAAGAGCTTTCAGTTTAGTTCAGTTTTAATAACAATCCAGACTGAGTCTCACCATGTGGGTGGGCGGAGCTTCTTCTTAATGCCCAGATACACTCTCAGACACTTGACCGGCCACTCTCTCTCGGGGCGATTACTCTGAAGAGAGAGAGAGAGAGAAATAAACCTACTAAAACACACACACACACACACACACATCTACAACCCAAAACTAGAGGAAAACCACCACCTGAGAACCCAGGACAACACAGATCAGAGAACAGCACACACACACACACAATTGTATATGGTGTGAATAGTAAGGACCACAGACACCAGACCCCTAAAGCAAGCTCACACACACACACACACACACACACTCTGTACTCACACACTGCAGCTCTGGCCTCTGCAGCTTCTGCAGATTCTGTGTATGAGAGTTTCACAGTAAAGCATCACTCACACACACACACACACACACACACTCATCAAACCCTCTGGTGCTCTTCGGTCACTTTGTGTTTTGTTTTTTGCAGAATGTTTTTCTTCATGGGAATGAAACTTGATGAGGTTTTTGCAGTGTGAACGCGATCCGAACCGGTTCATCTGTCCTGAAACATGTCCCACGCGCTCAGAAATACCACAGCAGAAGTTATATAGAGTTTCCTCTAGTGGTTGAACCACTCTTTGAAGTGGACTATTGTGGCATCAAAGTCGAGTCGGCTAGCGCTGACGTCATTCATGAAAACACAAGAAACGCCACTGCTTTGAAACATGCCACGACTTGGCATTTATAAGCAGAAACGATTAGGCTTGTGCGTTGATATGGAACTGAATCAAACGCAGGTTTCAGTTCCTCGTTTGGGTGCCAGCCTGTTGAAATCGTCACCGCACGTGATGGCTAGTTCACCGCTTGAGGCGTTCGAGCGTTCACACAGGTGTGCTTGATGATTGGGTCGCGAGATCATCCTCTGCTAAACTCAAATCTGGACATTTAAACACACATCAGACTAATCCGTTCAACCCGAGTGTCCTCTAGTGGAAGAGTGCGGTACTGCAGCCGAACACACACACACTCACTGAGATCAGCTCACATGTGGAACACACACTCGTTCAGATTTATTAGCTTCACCGTTTTAGAGCTTTTGAATAACATATATTTCATATAAACATTTTTCATAGCAATAAACGTAAAATCCTGTATCTTCTTCACTCCAGCAATAATCTGTCAGGTGTCAATCAAAAATTGCTCTAAAGCGTTCAAGATTTATCACAGTTAGTGCCTGGTTCAGGTTACACGATTGTGGCTGCTAAAATCTTGTCGTGTCGAGGAGAAGACACATGTCAGACTACACGTTACTTCCTGACCGGTCGTCGCATGCCGTGTTTAACGGCGCACGTGATGTCATCGAGAAGGCGAAACTCGTAGCGAGCGCCTTCCTGGATTGGTCGGAATTGCCTTCTCAGTGTGAGAAATACACTTCTGTCTGTGGAAATACACAATGAGTGTGTGAACTAGTTGAATTGCGTGCGTCTCGTGGCGATTGCTCGAAGAGGACAGTATGGGCTGTCAATCCTTCAAAGAGAACTTGAGGTAGAATATTGTTTTCTTATATATTTTTACTTCTAGTTTTAACGTTAGCACCATTGTCTCTCTTTCATTTAGTCTTTTTTGAAAGTTGCGTACGGAAAAGCTTGTGCTCCTATTGGTCAACCTCATACATGTGACGGAACCGCCGTGGACGACCGTTAAAGAAATTAAACATGCTGGTCTTTTCGAATCTTGCGTCCCGACGCCTGTTGTCGTTTACGAATCCCCACGACACCCTACGTCAAACAGATCGTGCCAAAATCAGGCTAAAATCGTGTAATCTGAACCAGGCATTAAGCTGGAAATGTAATTTTCAGGTCTATGCTCAAAAAGTAAATAAATGTATTATAAATACAGCGTTAATAACATTTTGTACCATAAAATCCCTGAAAAATTCTATGTATTAAATAAAAAACATTATCAAACTAAAATATAGTACATTCATTTCAGTGACATAAATAAAAACACAGAAAACACCAGAGAGTTGAGCTCTAGTTCAGAACATGTGCTTATATATCAGAATACTGCCGTAAACAACATCACCGCTTCCTGAATATGGCCTTTAATTTCACTCCGAGACTTCTGAAGATTATTCATCAGGATTGCTGTGTTTCTGTCCTCAAATGTAAGAACTCTTGATATTATAGTTTTTTTTTGAGCTGTGCAACAATTAATCGCATCCAAAATAAAAGTTTGTGTTTACATAATATATATGTGTGTGTAGTGTGTATAAGTAATCTGTATATATAAATACCCACACATGCATGTATATATTTAAGAAATATGTGCATGTATATTTTATATACAGTATATTTATTCACAATGAATATTATATGAAAATATAAATATTTGCTGTATTAAGAACACATTTTTCTTAAATATATACATGCATGTGTGGGTTTTTATATATACAAATTAATTATACACACTACACACACATATATTAGGTAAACACAAACTTTTATTTTGGATGCGATTAATCGTGATTCCTAATTTATATATAAAATAATTACACACACACACACGCACACACTCTTACCCGGACTTCTTTATAGAGTCTGAGAGAGGCGCTGGTGAGGATGAAGTATCGGTCATTAAAGCTGCCGGAGCTCAAACCCAATCCCAGCAGGCTCCTCTCCTCTCGAAACTTCATCATCCCGTGCTTCGACACCTCCACTTTACTGGCTGCACACACACACACACACACACACACACAATCAGGCAATATAGTGGCGATAATAAACAAAAGACACAACACACACTCTATCTCTTTCTCTCTCACACACACACACAATCAGGAAATATAGTGGTTGTAATAAACAAAACACAACACACACTAGGGCTGGGTAATAAATATCAATTTCTCGATATTAATCGATTCTCATTTTTACGAACCGATATCGATTGTTAAATCTCAAGAATCAATTAGTCATCCTGTTTCATTTGAATGAATGGATCATTGTATCGCGGCTGCGCACATCCAAAAAAATTGCAATAATCTTTGTCCTTTGTTACTATTGATATGAAACAAAGTCTCAATTTTCAAATTACGTCCATTTTCTTTATAAATTCAAAAACATAAATAGTGTTTTGTCGCTGTGGCGTGAGATCGCTCTGGAGAAGCAGCAGCGCTGATCTCTCTTCCGGCTTAATAATACCAGTTAAACATGAATGAGCATCTGAAAGTGTGTTAAAGATAGAGGACAACTTATCCAAATCCGGATCATGTCACATCGATTCGCTCAATCAGCGTTTCAACCGTGGAAAGACGTCAGTTAAACAGCTTGTAATCAATGTATCGTCATATTTACCTCAGAAAACCCACATCAACTCGTTAGTCAGCTAGAAAAATAACTCTAGAGAGGAGCATTTTGATAAATATATACACCATAATCTTAATGTTCGTCAATATTTCATGCATATTTGATTAAATCTGGCAAGTTTTTATGACAGTCACCATTTAAATGTTTATATTTCATATAATCTTCTTATTATAAATGAAATAAAAGTGTAATTTAAGTGTTTGTATAGCCACAAAACAGTTCATTATTACCTTCATATTAGGCTAATGAAGTCTATAGGCTACAACTAGACTCCCATAGTGCAGCATTAGTTCAGAGATTTGATTTCCTTGAGAAAAATGGCCATTTATTGGAACTGATATCCAAAATAATCGATATTGAATCGAATCGTAATCGAAATCGAATCGAATTGTGAAATTTGTCTCAATACCCAGCCCTAACACGCACACTCTCTCTCTCTCTCTGTCTCTCACACACACACACTCTTACCCAGGTACACCAGCATGGCCTCCATGGAGAAGTGCTTCTTGACGAGTAAGTGACTGTCGGTCCCCAGAGAGTGAAAGATGGGCAGAACTCTCTCCTGAAAGTGCAGCGGGCGTTCTGAGACACACACACACAGACACATGAAACCCCCCTCACACACACACACACACACACTGAGCTGCATCACTGGTCACTCACCCGTCTCCTCCTTCTCGTTGACCTCGAAGCAGCACCAGTAGTCCTTCTCCCGCACGCTCAGTTTCCGCCGGTCCAGAACCTCAAAGGTCAGTTCTGCTGATGTCATCGCCGCGGGAATCTGCTCGGGTCAAAGGTCACACGTCAGAAAGCACTCCGGCCGACTTAATCGTGAATGAAAAACGGGAGCTGTGTCCGAAACCGCTCCCCAGGTGTCGGACGTCAGCCAATCATTCCCTTCATTCGGTCACTACTGTATACCCACAATCCTCTCTGATTCCAAGTGTACAGATTTATACCCACAATATATATATATATATAAAAAATTGTTGTTTTTTTAAAAAAAAGATCCTAAAAGCAGGTTAAAGGTCAAGCGCACCTTTACATGCTGTTCGGCTGTTTCCTTCTTCTCCTCCAGGTAAACCGTGCAGATAAAATCACCACTCCCCTGCACACACACACACACACACACACACACACACACACACACACACGATAAATGGACTATAATCTGGATTAAGTGTTTTAAGTGTCGTGATATGAATTATATAAACATGATTACTGCGGGATTTCAAGACAACGCAATAATGGCAAATGTTTTTGAAACAGAAAAGCTTCTTGAAAGATGCTGCATTGTGTTTAGTGGGTTGAAATTGAACATGGTTGTATATTTAAGCTGTGAATATTTCAATTCAAAACATTTCACACACATTTTCATTGTTAAATATAATATATAACGTATCTATAATATTCCACAGGCACATTTCAGTCCAATTTGTTTCATATTTTAAAGAGACTCCACTCCTCAGATGCAGCGTTTGATCGGGTATATAACGTTATAATAGAGACTTTAATGCAAACACAGCTTTTGTGTGTTTATCCGATTATGAATCGCTAATGTTCCTGCAGTTCCCTGAGGAATTTTCTGTGGAATTTGAACCTCTGAATTTCTGGAAGCGAAATAAATTAGGCCGAAATTTTCCTATCGAATATTTTAGATTATATTTTTTAAACATAATGAATATTTTGGAAGTGAAATCTGAAAGGTGAACATGGATTATTGGATTTGTAATAATGAGATGTGTGTGAAATGTTTAGAATTGAATTTTGATCCCAGCTTAAATATACAAGCATGTTTAATTCAGGACGGTTAATGCAATGCATGATGTTTCCAGAAGAGAATCATCATAACTCTTACCGTTCCAGCTTTAGGCGTGAGATTGTCTCTGAGCTTTATGATGTATGTGATCTCATCTAACTGCTTCTTCAGCTGCTGCTCGTTCACCTGTAACACACACACACACACACACACTCTCATACTCTAGTCTCACCAACAGATGGCGCACTCTCTCCACATCTCTACACTGTGTGTGTGTGTGTGTGTGTGTGTGTGTGGACATACGTGGAATATAGTGACGTAGTGTTGGATGAGGTCCTCGATGACCCGGCCGGCGCTGTAGTCCTTCCCGTCCGCCTGGAACAGCGTCGGCCCGAACACGATCGCCAGATTATGCAGATTCATCTGATTGAGATCCGCAAACCGCTGGACGCTGCGCACACACACACACACACATCAGAGACTGAAAGCAGAGCGGCGAGGAAGTGTGTGTGAGAAAAAGAGGAAGTGTGTGTCTCACCAGTATAAATGATTAACTAGCGCCCGTAGTGTCGCCTGGTTCACTCGGGGAAGGTTACTGAAGAGAAGACGATACTGACAGATACGACTGCTCTCATCTGACACACCTGTACACACACACACACACACACACACACACACACACATTAATCATCTGCTGATATCTGTCATTATTATTAGCCAGTGTTGAGGAAAGTTACTTTGAAAAGTAATGCATCACAATATTGCATTACGCCATCAAAAACTGACAAATTACTACAGGAGAGGTAGAGTACAGTAGAGTACAGTAGAGTACAGTAGAGTAGAGTATATTAGAGTAGAGTAGAGTAGAGTACAGTAGAGTACATTAGAGTACAGTAGAGTAGAGAACAGTAGAGTACCAAGGTCCAGTGCCCTCAAATTCAAGGTCTTAATGTGGGGACAAGAGTGTAGATCAAATGCATTATAAAATATTCCATATTCCAAGGGGAACCCTGATTAAATATGCCCTTTAATAATCTGGTGTAGTTATTAATAACCTGTGGCGCTGAGCCAGGCGTTCGCCTCGGGGCCGAACAGCCCCTCCTCGATGTCCCTAAAGAAGCGCTTGAGGACGTTAGACACGTCGTCCACCTGATGCTCTCCTTCCTTCAGCCACACACACCTCGCGTCACGCCTCAACTCCTCCAGCAGGGCGGCGATCCTACTGTTCACACCACTCTTACGGTAGATGCCCTCTGAGGTCAGACCTGCAGCGCACACACAGGCAACATTACGACTCTCCTGATATTTCGACTTAATTCTGACTTTAGTAGTTCAGAATAGAGTTGAATAGAATATAATAAAGTTGAATAGAGTACTTCAGAATAGAGTATAATAAAGTTGAATAGAGTAGGTCAGAATAGAGTTGAATAGAGTATAGTAAAGTTGAATAGAGTAGTTCAGAATAGAGTTGAATAGAGTATAATAAAGTTGAATAGAGTAGGTTAGAATAGAGTTGGTGAGAAAAGAGTTGAATAGAGCAAGTCAGTCTAGAGTAGAAAAGAGTAGGTCAGACTAGAGTTGAATAGAGTAGGTCAGAATAGAGTTGAATAGAGAATGTCACAATAGAGTTGAATAAAGTATGTCAGAATATAGTTGAATAGAGAATGTCAGAATAGAGTTGAATAGAGTATAATAAAGTTGAATAGAGTAGGTCAGAATAGAGTTGGTGAGAAAAGAGTTGAATAGAGCAAGTCAGTCTAGAGTAGAAAAGAGTAGGTCAGACTGGAGTTGAATAGAGTATGTCAGACTAGAGTTAAATAGAGTAGGTCAGACTGGAGTTGAATAGAGTATGTCAGACTAGTGTTGAATAGAGTAGGTCAGACTAGAGTTGAATAGAGTAGGTCAGACTAGGGTTGAATAGAGTAGGTCAGACTGGAGTTGAATAGAGTATGTCAGAATTGAGTTGAAAAGTGTAGGTCAGAGTAGAATAGAATAGAGTAGGTCAGAATAGAGCTGAATAGAGTATGTCAGAATAGAGTTGAAAAGCATAGGTCAGAGTAGAGTAGAATAGAGTATGTCAGAAAAGAGTTGAAAAGCGTAGGTCAGAGTAGAGTAGAATAGAGTAGGTCAGAATATAGTATGTCAGAATAGAGTTGAATAGAGAATATCAGAATAGAGTTGAATAGAGTAGGTAAGACTAGAGCTGAATAGAGTAGGTCAGACTGGAGTTGAATAGAGTAGGTAAGACTAGAGTTGAATAGAGTATGTCAGACTAGAGTTGAATAGAGTATGTCAGAATAGAGTTGAATAGAGTAGGTCAGACTGGAATTGAAAAGAGTATGTCAGACTAGAGTTGAATAGAGTATGTCAGAATAGAGTTGAATAGAGTATGTCAGACTAGAATTGAATAGAGTATGTCAGACTAGAGTTGAATAGAGTAAGTCAGACTTGAGTTGAATAGAGTAGGTCAGACTAGAGTTGAATAGAGTATGTCAGAATAGAGTTGAAAAGCGTAGGTCAGAGTAGAGTAGAATAGAGTATATCAGAATAGAGTAGGTCAGACTAGAGTTGAATAGAGTATGTCAGAATAGAGTATGTCAGACTAGAATTGAATAGAGTATGTCAGACTAGAGTTGAATAGAGTAAGTCAGACTTGAGTTGAATAGAGTAGGTCAGAGTAGAGTTGAATAGAGTAGGTCAGAGTAGAGTTGAATAGAGTAGGTCAGACTAGAGTTGAATAGAGTAGGTCAGACTAGAGTTGAATAGAGTATGTCAGAATAGAGTAGGTCAGACTAGAGTTGAATAGAGTATGTCAGAATAGAGTAGGTCAGACTAGAATTGAATAGAGTATGTCAGACTAGAGTTGAATAGAGTAAGTCAGACTTGAGTTGAATAGAGTAGGTCAGAGTAGAGTTGAATAGAGTAGGTCAGACTAGAGTTGAATAGAGTAGGTCAGACTAGAGTTGAATAGAGTAGGTCAGACTAGAGTTGAATAGAGTAGGTCAGAGTAGAGTTGAATAGAGTAGGTCAGACTAGAGTTGAATAGAGTAGGTCAGACTAGAGTTGATAGAGTAGGTCAGACTAGAGTTGAATAGAGTAGGTCAGACTAGAGTTGAATAGAGTAGGTCAGAGTAGAGTTGAATAGAGTAGGTCAGACTAGAGTTGAATAGAGTAAGTCAGACTTGAGTTGAATAGAGTAGGTCAGAGTAGAGTTGAATAGAGTAGGTCAGACTAGAGTTGAATAGAGTAGGTCAGACTAGAGTTGAATAGAGTAGGTCCAACTGGAGTTGAATAGAGTATGTCAGAATAGAGTTGAAAAGTGTAGGCCAGAATAGAGTAGGTCAGAATAGAGTTGAGCACCGTATTGCGTGATGAAGTGAATGCAGCGCTCCACGATGACGGGGATATCGGAGTCCGTCAGCTGCTGCTGGCTCAGTGTGTCTCCAGAACTCCCAGCATTCCTCTGGATCGCTGCCGCCCAGCCCTGGAAGTCCAGCTTCCTCTCGCCCTCGATGTACAGCGTCCTGAGGGAGAGACCTCCTGTTAGTCAGACACACTCTCTCTCTCTCTCACACACACACACACACTCTCACACTCGCTCCTGCTCACCTGCCCCGCTCCACCAGAACCAGAGCCTCATTCTCCGGCTGGATCGCTGCACACACATGAGAAGGAAAGCTTAACACTTCAAATACATTATTTACAGGGACACAAATTTTCTAGATGCAGTCAAAATCAAGGACAATATTGACTTTTTTGTTCCGTTTCAGCAATGAAAATAGTTCCAAACCACAGCGCATCTCACAGCAACACTCAACCGTGTTTCAGTCCCGAGTGAATCAGTGATTCGAGTGAAAGATTCAATGACTCAGTCATGTCAACTTGTGGATTAGTGTCTCATGTTTATCCGTGTCAAAATCAGAAATGAAACTATTCTTGCTAACACAGATCAGTGTCACTTTAACTGATTTCCTTGTTGATGTGTGTGTGTGTGTGTGTGTGTGACTCACAGAGCTCCTGCAGCTTCTGCAGGTCGATGGTCTCGTCGGTGTTGTTCTCCTCCAGCCGGATGTGTAGACTGGATCCCACCAGACAGAACCAGCCCAGTCGGGACATCTCCCGGTTCAGCCGGTCCTTGTAGCGCAGGCGCCCGATGCGCTCGAAGTCCTTCAGCAGCAGATCCTCTGCTCCCGAGGGAATGAACGACTGCAACACACACACACACACACACACCTTATTTCAGAAACTTTCAGTTTTAAGCTTTTTCAATAACCATGCATAAACAATATTCTCTCAAAAATGCAAACATATGCATACATGCTGCTCACATATTATGGTAGCCCTGTTTGTGCTAAATAGAGTGTAATTTCACCTGTGCCATTAATATGTTTATAAGCAACTTAAAAAGCACAAATGTCAGAACATCTCAAGTGGAGCCCAGAGGGTTAATCAACCTTGGCCTGTTTTCGTTCAGTCGAGGTTTAGCCGACTAAAAGCCTGCTCTAGTTTTGGTCAACGAGAACATGTTTTCGTCATGCTGCATAATGGTTACATTTGTAACGATTATTTTGCTTAAAATTATAAATCACAACAATTGCTGTCATTTGAGAAATTTATATTTGCATTTCATCAGAATTTACAAATCTAGAGTCTCATAATGCCCGTTAAACTCCCACGCATGTTTTATCGTTTTTAGTGTCGTCTCGTCTTAGTCATGGAAGAAAAGGTCGTCAACGAATGTTTCTGGTCATAGATTTCATTAGCGAAGTTAACACTACAGTAGTGTGTGGTTACCTTAGCGATGGATTTGACCCACTCGCGCATGGCGTCGGGATTGTCCGTGCCGAACAGGTACAGGCGCTCGGAGTCGGAGTAAAGCTCGAAGGTGTGATCGTACCTGAGGGAGAGAGGAAGACCGTCAGTGCCTGAGGAAGAGCTCACACACACACACACACACACACTGAGTGCAGGATTACCCATGAGTCTCGGGGGGGTTGACGGCCAGGCACACGATCTCCTTCATCTTCAGTCCTCCGTTCGGCGTAGCGTTTTTGTCACTTTCATAGTAGCTGAAGTTCCCGTCGTTCAGAACACACCAGCGCCGGCTGAACTCTGACACACACAAACACATGCAATCAAACAACATGAAAACATTCGAGCAATTTTATTACACTCTCACTCACACACACACACACACACACACACTCGCCCTTGGCTCACCTTCTTTCCCCTTCTTTTCTGTGATTGGTCGAGCCATGGACCCGGTCTTAAATAGGAAGCCATTATGTGTGATGGAGGGCGGGGCCATGTAGTGCACCGTATCGATGGCGACCTTGACCTCTGACCTCGGGAGTTCTGCCGTTCAAAAGAGGAAATGACATCAGCTGCCGTCACATGCACTAATGCAACTTTATCGGTTTATTTTGCACTATATGGGCCATTTACAGTAAATGGTGTTTTGTGTATATTTAGTGTTTCCATCAACTACTTTCCCTTCAGCAGTGTAAGGTGTGTGTGTGTGTGTGTGTGGCGCACCCGTGTTGCGGTTCTGGCTCAGGAACTCCACCTGCAGGGTCTGGGAGTGGTGTTGTGCGAGGGCGATCGGAGAGGTCAGCTCGGGGTCACCGGTGTCACAGTTCACATCAGCGCCACAGAACACCAGAGCCAGCGTCTCACACACATCGCTGGACTGAACATTGATGCACAGCGCCTGCAGAGAGAGAGAGAACACCAGTCAGGACGTGTGTGTGTGTGTGTGTGTGTGTGTGTGTCAGGGGTTCTGAGAACGTGAAAACGGGATCTTTGAGTGTGAACTACAACCAGAACCGATCCGACAGTGTGAGGGTGAACACTAAATGCTGCACTTCAGCACATTAATAGACTAAAATATCAAGAAAGATTTACTGCAAAACACGACCAGGATCGACGAGTGGATTTGTTACACAAACAACATTAATATTATTTAATTTAAAAAATACTATTTTAAAGTAACATATAAATAACAAAAAAGTACTTATCTGTATATTTTATATAAGTACTAAACAAAAAAATTATATATTAACTTTTTTGAATTTATATTATTTGATGTATTTTCTTTTTCTTTTAATTTAATATTTTTATCATAAAATGTATAGTTTATTTAAACTATTAAAACTTTAATATATACATTTTTAATATATATATATATATAGTGAGAGAGACAGAGAGAGATGATATTATAGCATATTTCTTTAATATAAATAATTATAATATAATATTAAAAATAAATAATATTAAAAGTACTTTTAAAAAATGAGTGATTCCTCAGTGATTGTGTAAAGTGAGAGGATGTTTGGACAGCTGAAAATCAACCTCCACAATCACAGCAGGACACACACACACACTCACGTTAACACACAGAAACACTCTCTCACACACACACATATACACAGAGAGAGAGAGAGACAAACACTCACATACACTCATATTCACACACACAGAAACACACACACTCAGATGGACACAGAGTAAATGAAACCAGACAGTAATTCGTGTAAACCACAGCTCATTTAAAGTCTCTTGCTCAACAGCACAAACACACAATATAAACCACACAGACATGAATCAAACTATAGTCCTTGAAACACAAACACAGATATAAACTCCAGGAATATTTCAGGTTGTTTATAACTAACTAAAAGAAGGAAGTAGGAAAGACTATTACTTCTTCAGTGATAACGGTAAATGTGCTCAAATACCTCAGACTTTGTGCTGTGTCACTGTGCGCGTCACAGACTGAAACCTGACCAGGAGGAACTGAACAATCCCAAGTGACTGATTAGCTGCTACTGCAGATCATGATGCGTGCAACAACACACACACGGGTTTGAGTCCCGCACACTCGACGCGGGTTTGAGTCCCACACACTCGACGCGGGTTTGAGTCCCGCACGCTCGACGCGGGTTTGAGTCCCGCACGCTCGACGCGGGTTTGAGTCCCGCACGCTCGACGCGGGTTTGAGTCCCGCACGCTCGACGCGGGTTTGAGTCCCGCACGCTCGACGCGGGTTCGAGTCCCGCACACTCGACGCGGGTTTGAGTCCCGCACACTCGACGCGGGTTCGAGTCCCGCACACTCGACACAGGTTTGAATCCCGAACAATAAACACGGGTTTGAGTCCCACACAATAAACACGGGTTCGAGTCCCACACACTCGACACGGTTTGACTCCCGCACACTCGACACAGGTTTGAATCCCGAACAATAAACACGGGTTTGAGTCCCACACAATAAACACGGGTTCGAGTCCCACACACTCGACGCGGGTTTGAGTCCCGCACACTCGACACAGGTTTGAATCCCGAACAATAAACACGGGTTTGAGTCCCACACAATAAACACGGGTTCGAGTCCCACACACTCGACACGGGTTTGAGTCCCGCACGCTCGACGCGGGTTTGAGTCCCGCACACTCGACGCGGGTTCGAGTCCCGCACGCTCGACGCGGGTTTGAGTCCCGCACACTCGACGCGGGTTCGAGTCCCGCACACTCGACACGGGTTGACTCCCGCACACTCGACACAGGTTTGAATCCCGAACAATAAACACGGGTTTGAGTCCCACACAATAAACACGGGTTCGAGTCCCACACACTCGACACGGGTTTGACTCCCGCACACTCGACACAGGTTTGAATCCCGAACAATAAACACGGATTTGAGTCCCGCACACTCGACACAGGTTTGAATCCCGAACAATAAACACGGGTTTGAGTCCCGCACACTCGACACAGGTTTGAATCCCGAACAATAAACACGGGTTTGAGTCCCGCACACTCGACACAGGTTTGAATCCCGAACAATAAACACGGGTTTGAGTCCCGCACACTCGACACGGGTTTGAGTCCCGAACAATAAACACGGGTTTGAGTCCCACACACTCGACACGGGTTTGAGTCCCGAACAATAAACACGGGTTTGAGTCCCACACACTCGACACGGGTTTGAATCCCGAACAATAAACACGGGTTTGAGTCCCGCACACTCGACACGGGTTTGAGTCCCGAACAATAAACACGGGTTTGAGTCCCACACACTCGACACGGGTTTGAGTCCCGAACAATAAACACGGGTTTGAATCCCACACACTCGACACGGGTTTGAGTCCCGAACAATAAACACGGGTTTGAGTCCCGAACAATAAACACGGGTTTGAATCCCGAACAATAAACACGGGTTTGAATCCCACACACTCGACACGGGTTTGAGTCCCGAACAATAAACACGGGTTTGAGTCCCGCACACTCGACACAGGTTTGAATCCCGAACAATAAACACGGGTTTGAGTCCCGCACACTCGACACGGGTTTGAGTCCCGAACAATAAACACGGGTTTGAGTCTCGCACACTCGACACGGGTTTGAGTCCCGAACAATAAACACGGGTTTGAGTCCCACACACTCGACACGGGTTTGAGTCCCGAACAATAAACACGGGTTTGACTCCCGCACACTCGACACAGGTTTGAATCCCGAACAATAAACACGGGTTTGAGTCCCGCACACTCGACACGGGTTTGAATCCCGAACAATAAACACGGGTTTGAGTCCCGCACACTCGACTCGGGTTTGAGTCCCGAACAATAAACACGGGTTTGAGTCCCGCACACTCGACACGGGTTTGAGTCCCGAACAATAAACACGGGTTTGAGTCCCGCACACTCGACACAGGTTTGAATCCCGAACAATAAACACGGGTTTGAGTCCCGCACACTCGACACAGGTTTGAATCCCGAACAATAAACACGGGTTTGAGTCCCGCACACTCGACACGGGTTTGAGTCCCGAACAATAAACACGGGTTTGAGTCCCGAACAATAAACACGGGTTTGAGTCCCGCACACTCGACACGGGTTTGAGTCCCGAACAATAAACACGGGTTTGAGTCCCACACACTCGACACGGGTTTGAGTCCCGAACAATAAACACGGGTTTGAATCCCACACACTCGACACGGGTTTGAGTCCCGAACAACAAACACGGGTTTGAGTCCCGAACAATAAACACGGGTTTGAATCCCACACACTCGACACGGGTTTGAGTCCCGAACAATAAACACGGGTTTGAGTCCCACACACTCGACACGGGTTTGAGTCCCGAACAATAAACACGGGTTTGACTCCCGCACACTCGACACAGGTTTGAATCCCGAACAATAAACACGGGTTTGAGTCCCGCACACTCGACACGGGTTTGAGTCCCGAACAATAAACACGGGTTTGAGTCCCGCACACTCGACACGGGTTTGAGTCCCGAACAATAAACACGGGTTTGAGTCCCGCACACTCGACACGGGTTTGAGTCCCGAACAATAAACACGGGTTTGAGTCCCACACAATAAACACGGGTTTGAGTCCCGCACACTCGACGCGGGTTTGAGTCCCACACACTCGACGCGGGTTTGAGTCCCACACAATAAACACGGGTTTGAGTCCCACACACTCGACACGGGTTTGACTCCCGAACAATAAACACGGGTTTGAGTCCCGAACAATAAACATGGGTTTGAGTCCCACACAATAAACACGGGTTTGAGTCCCGCACACTCGACGCGGGTTTGAGTCCCGCACACTCGACGCGGGTTTGAGTCCCGCACACTCGACACGGGTTTGAGTCCCACACAATAAACACGGGTTTGAGTCCCACACACTCGACACGGGTTTGAGTCCCACACACTCGACACGGGTTTGAGTCCCACACAATAAACACGGGTTTGAGTCCCACACACTCGACGCGGGTTTGAGTCCCACACACTCGACACGGGTTTGAGTCCCACACAATAAACACGGGTTTGAGTCCCACACACTCGACACGGGTTTGACTCCCGAACAATAAACACGGGTTTGAGTCCCGAACAATAAACATGGGTTTGAGTCCCACACAATAAACACGGGTTTGAGTCCCGCACACTCGACGCGGGTTTGAGTCCCACACACTCGACGCGGGTTTGAGTCCCGCACACTCGACACGGGTTTGAGTCCCACACAATAAACACGGGTTTGAGTCCCACACACTCGACACGGGTTTGAGTCCCACACACTAGTAGCTGCTCACGGACACCTCCACACTTGGTCAGGTGGAACTGGGGATTGAACCACCAACTTTTCAGTTTGTAGACAACCTACATGAACCATTGAGCCACTGCCGCCCGGGTAAACACAGGTTTGAGTCCCACACACTGAATGTAGAGCTGAAACAGACACTGAAATGTAAACGTCAACTAATGAAATCAACCAACATGCCTCATGAATTTGTCTTTCTGTTTCCTATGTGTGTGAGAAATATTACTGCGTCTCTTCTGAATTCCCCTGCTCTGCTGCAGACCACCCACCTCATCAACACACACACACACACACACACACACACAGATCTGGAGTGTGTTTCAGCTTTCCAAATCAGCGTAACTGTCTGTGCATCTGTTAAAAGTGCTGTGAAACCACACCCGAACTACCCAATCCAGACAATGAGAGAGAGTGTGTGTGTGTGTGTGTGTGTAGGGATGATGAAGCAGTTGGAAAATAATCTTAAAAACACAAGCAGACAGACATCGCTCTGTAATAATCCAGGGCACAGAAACATCATTGGCGTTGCAAGCACCAACGCTCTACTGTTTGAGCTACAGAAAAGATAGTAAATATCAGTCCTGTGTGTTCAATCTCGTTTTAACTCGACAC